CGTGTCGGGCAGAAAAATGGCCGCGGACCACGTGTCAGGGGCAGAAAAATGGCAGCGCACATGTCAGGGGTGGAAAATGGCCGCGGACCACGTGTCAGGGGCGGAAAATGGCCGCGGATCCTGTTCGTAACCCGAGGTGGAGTTCGCGAACTGAAGCAAAATTTTGCGGCTGGAGCTGGCCGTCACCCGAAAAGTTCGTGAACAGAAGCGTTCATCACCCGAGGTTCCACTGTATTTGTACCCCATTACAAGTTATTTTAAAATCCACACATCTTTTATAATACCAGGGTAAACTGTCATTTTTTTCACAGAGGTAGATAAGTCAGTGAGTTAACTGACATATCAAGATAGTTCAGTTCTTTAAAATTCTGCAACCAATGCAATTTTAATCACATTCACAGGTGTTATTAACTTTTTTATCCCTTTTGTTTTGTTTGAAATTATTCATTTCATTCAATCAATTCATTAACAGTCCATTTTGAATGCAAATAATTGTTTCAAACTCAAATGGGAACACTCCAAATTTAGTCATAAAGCATACTTTTTCCCGTATAGATTTTATTAATATTCCTGTAAATGTCTGTAATAAACTGAATTGATGGTCTACAAATGTAATTGTCTGAAATAAAATTATGAGTTTTTGCCTTAACAATTCCATAAGAACTTTCTGTTTAGAAGCTATCCTTCTAAGTTAGAAATTTGTTCTTATGTTTTCCGGCAATCAAGCATTATTCCTGATTTTCTCCATCAAAAATTTTAATCAAATGAATGGTTAGGGTTTCCTCATTATAGTCTATTCCCTTCCACACTATAGTACCAGTTTTCATTCTCCTGCCCTCAGGAACTGTTTCAAGCCAACTCACAGTATTATCACTGCCAATTTCAAAATGTGGAGAAGGCAACATGACACATCTATGCATCTACCAGCTGATCAACATTGCAGCACAAAAACTGGCATCTAACCAACTTGGCACTCTACTCATAGTCAGTTTATTTGGCGTTTAAAACACCTCACTGTTTTAAATGCCAAATAAACAGAGGTAGCCACGTAGCTGATACTTTAATATAGTGAGCAGAGGACTGTAATGGTGTAAGAAAACATTTAAGTATGATGGCTTAACCTCTGAGAGAAGGTGAGCCCTTGAACCAGGTTAAAGCAAGAGATCCTGCCAACAGAAATCAACCTGCCAAAAAGCTCCACTTAGCTCTGAGCAATTCTACTGAAATCAATTCCTGTTGCACTGTGGTGGAAATAACATCAACACAGCTGCTAAAAGGACACAAAGTTATAGCATCACATGGGTATAGGACCATTCCAGGAGTGGGTCAAATACTGCGTTATGTGTCTTTGGATGTGTTATTTTCAATTTAATAAGCTGATGTAAAATAGCGTTGAGCAAAATTCAATAAAAGCATTATTTAATAAATACTTCCAGAATAAAGTATGTGAAAATATTTTTAAATCCCTAAATTCAAATTTCTTTGTAAGTACAATTAATAAAACAAAGAATTGAAAACAAAAGCTAAACTGATAGATTAATCCAGTGCAATTTAAGCATCTCAAACTGTGTAAACTGACTTAATTGGGTTAACTGACTGAATAATGCAAGAAAACAAAACAAAAACCTAGAAAGTTATTGTCAAGTACATTACCTCGCATTATCTACAAGTTCAGCAAGGGCTCCAAACAAGAATTCATGTGTGGTTCTGCAATGCCAAACAGAATCAGTAAAAATCCTTTGAATCTGGGAAGCAGCATACATACGCATTATTGACCTATCCAATTTGTAACAGCCCAGAAAAGAAATGATTACATAAAATTGTCCCTTATAAAAAAAACAAATTTCTAAAGCGAACTAGAATGGCGCCATATTCTATACTTACTCAAAAGACAAGTCACTGGAAAAGCACAATTTCAGTAATTACAAAAAGCATAATTAAAACTTAAATATCAACAAAACAAAGACCTTCTCCAAAAGGATTCAAATGTGTAAACTATTAACCATTCAATTTAGAAAAAACTAACATCACTGAAATAGTTCTTGATGTGATATATGTAGCATTAAGAGATTTCTTTTGTATAAAAGTGGATTTCTTAATTTCATAGATCCAGTTGCAGGAAATTTTGCATCCTTTTGGTGATCCAAATGTCCAGAATGTTAACAACTACTCCAATCCAGAAATTTTTAAAAATCTTAAAATTTGCACTTATACCAACTCAGTGCTAATCCATTAGGTAAATTCCCATCATTTTACTGTTCTTAACCTCTAATACAACAATCCCCAAAATAATATCCATATTAACTATGCTGTTCCAGGAAAATATGTGTGATTACATCGATTTTTTAACTACTTTTACTACTTTTCTATTCTTGAAAGATGTAGCACTTTGATAAGGCAATTTTATCAAACTGGAATTAAATATTAACTTGAATGTGAAGTTCCACTCAAATGAGCTACTGAGTCACCCATTTAGTCAGTAAAGTTTTCTAAAATGACATAACCCTTTGCAATGTGGTACCAACATGCCATTCAGTAAGTGATTTGACTCTTGAAAGAATCCTAAGTCATATTGCAGTTCATAAGAAAAAAGCAAATTTCCCCAAAATACAAGGAATAGTTTAAAAATAAGGTTGAAAGGACAAACGTCTCCATGCTTGGAGGTTATTCAAAAGTACAGTAAGTGAAGTGAAGTACTTCACAGAAGGTGTAGCCAAGTGCAAATCAATGCTAGAACTGTTAACAACTAAGGTCAGAGAAGGTGTAAGAGACAAAGTCTCCTATATACTGTGCCAACAGGTGAAATGAGATACAGTAGTTTTCAAGTACCTGAAGGGGTATCATACAGAACGGGGCCACAAAGTGTTATCTGTCATTGGCAAATAGAGGACATGTAATAATGGTCTTAAGTTAAACAAGGCAGGTTTTAATGCTATGAAAAACATCCATAATAGCAAGAGCACACTGACAACAGAATGAAGATAATGAACTGTATTATTCACTGTATTATTCAAATAGGTTGGTTTCAAAGTATTTTTCAAACTAGCAGTCTTAGCATCTGTCTTCCATTTTGAGGACGTAACACAGATCCTTTTGCCTGAGCTTGTTTTTCAAAAGAATCAGATGGACTAACAGAAGAAAGAAGAAATATTATAAACTTGACTATTAAAGAAGAGCAAACTGTAGCTTCCAAGACTAACCGTATTAGGATTCTTAAAGAACTCTATATGAATGTACTGGATTTTTAAGAAAAACATGCAAATTTCTCAAGAGCTGGAAAATAAAACCTCCAATTTTTAGTAAGAAATAAAGGATGGGATACAGACATGTTTACACCAATTTAATATATATTCTGCTCACAATGGTATATGCACATAGGAGAACTATGAAGAGGAATCAGCAAGGCTTCTGCTAAGGTTAAGTGCTGTCGCAGTAAACTTATAGAATTTTTGAACAGGCCATGGAAGCTACTTATAATTTTTTTGAACAAGTAATGGAAACAACTTTTATGCAGAGCTGCCATATCAAATATGGACTATAAAGAGCTCCAAGAGGCTCGCTCTCATTGAGTATATGGAGTTTAAAATAAAAGATAAATGTCAGGGGGAAAATATGCAAGTCAATGGAAGAAAGAAATTTGATTTACATATACATTAAGCTGGTAGGAGACTGTTCAAGAAATAGACCTTGGACAAATCAATGCATCAATACAATTTGCAATTTAAAAAAGGTAAATTCCACAGCAGGAATTACGGGAAGTGGACTGAAAATGAAACTACCAATTCAATCATGTTATTAATGCATGTGGTCAATTAGAGTGCAACACTGAACGTTAGGGTCAAGCCAGTAAATCTTTGTTTTATATAAATTAGTGGTGGAATTGCATTTCAGAAATTGTATCATTCTGGTCACTACATCTAAAAAAGAGTAACGAAGAGCTAAAAAAGGTGGTTAGAACTAATGTAAGTAATGGAAAGATGACAGATATATATGAAATCACGCAAACCAAAAATAGGATATTATAGTGGAACTCAAGAGTCATCCACCAAAACTAAATAAAGGAATATTGTCAGGATGAATAAATTGTGAATCTTGCCAAGACCAAATGTAACGACACCCAACAATTACAAGGTAAAGTCCCCTTCAAGTTGAGATTGACTGCTGATGATTTCATGATTCCTCCATCACTTTTCATTTGCACAGAAACATACCCACCTACATCCCCAACCAATACATCTGTAACATCACAAGCATTCCATACATGTGAGCATGCGCACACATACACTCACTCTAAACGAAAGGATATCACATATTTTTGACTTATTCTTTGCTCAGGATTGAACTACTTGTATTCCATTTATACTCATGTGTTTTATTTCCACCATATACCACTTACTGCATTCTGCAACCCAGCCCTGCATATCAATGCGAAACATTCTATGGTTTAACCCTACTGATTCCAACATATGCTTTCCCTAAATCCACAACAGTAAATTCTCACTTCCGTCAATTTCTCATTAATTCTGTATTTTCAATTCTCATGTATTTATCAATTCTACTCCACGAGATCAGACTGCCTTCTCACAGACATTGACCTCTTCAGGCTAACATGGCTTTGGTCAACTGAGGTTTTCATGTTGCGCTTCTGAGTAGACACAGAAGGTGTAGACTATCAACAATAATTGCACCTGTGCCATATGCAGCATTCACTAACAATGAAGACGGTACCAGTATATTTTGGCACATTTAGCAATCAGAGCCCAACTCCAGGTGTGCTCATACTATTCTATGCAAGCTAAGATCTCTAATCCAGAAACTACCTGAATGTGCTACTGTCCACCTTGCATCAACTAGGAAATACATGCAGTGTACTGACACAATTTGAAACTCCAGTACTGCTTGTTCTGCAGAAAGAGATTAGTTTTACATGCTCCAAATGTAACGTGAGAAATACCAATGAAGATAAATTTAACCAAACAATGTAGTTTGAATTTTAGTTTCATATACTAATTAGTAGTTCTACGTAAGTTTTTTTTTTTTTTTACTGTAAATCGGTAATTTTGTGATCAACAGTAATGATTAAGAAACAATAACTGGGTCAAATCCAAAGAATCAAGATCCATTAGTAATTATGTGTAGCGAAATCTTATTTCACAAAGACATTAACTATTTTCCAATTTCCACTGTGTCTGAATTACTTTATCATCTGGATGTTCTGAGACAGACTGTTCTTTTCAAAGTTGCAATATTATTATTACAAAAAATTGTGGCATAAAACATTTTTGCCAATTATTACTGAACTTTGTAGATAATTGGGGAATCTCCACAAGGACCTATTGAAAATGGGAAATAAGAAAATTTGGGAAAGAGGGAACTGGAAGATGGACCTTCCAATGTCTATCTTCCCAGGAGAGCAAAACCAACAGAAATCTCCAGAACAATCGAAAGAAAGATTCTGAACAGATTCTTATCTCTATCCATCTACAGACAGTAATAGCCACTGAATCTTTAAAGTGGAAGAGGCAAGATACAAATGGTAAGGAAGGATGTGACGGAGTTTTCATCAATATGAGTTTTCAAATCTGTTGTGAGCTCCAATTGTTTAGTTTTATTAAAGAATTGTCTTATGTCTCAACAAGTTGCTTCTTCAAATTTTTTCTTCATAAATAGACATCTGAACAAAAATATCCACAAATGTTTCAGTAAGTATAGGTACTACTCAATATTCAGAACCAGATATTTTTTTTTGTTAATAAATCAAAGCGTAATTTGCAGAGATCTGTAATATAGGGTTTCAGATATATACCTACTTGTTAGAATGTCTATGACAGAAGACCTTCAACAAATTGTTGTACTGTGGCTAATCCCCATTACATTTTCAGACTAACCAGAATATAGCATCCTATTTCCCCAACTTGTTTGGTTTTCTTTTTTCCAATCATCTATGAGTGTTATATCACTCAATATTCTCAAGCCTTATTAGGTCATTGGTGAACCTCAATTTTCTCCTTTTTTTTTCCTTATTGCATATAGTCCAGTATTCAGATAACTGATTTTATGATTAGTATACATGTTTTGACAATCCCAAGCATGTAAAATGCATCCTTCACCATGACACAAAGAAAGTTGTGTACAATTCCCAACTTTAATTTATATCGGAAGATCTGTAATGCCAAGTTAATGAAATTCTTCTTTAAAAACTATTTTGTTACACAACCATTAACTTGTTAAATCAGGGATACAGAAAGATGCTAATGAGCAGCCTCTCCGCAGAGTTAATTATAACATGTAATACTCAAACCTTGCATAGTACAAGACATTGCTCATTTAATATATAAACATAGTATATGTTTATAATACAGCATAACATGTTATATCAAAATGAACCAACTGGTTATTAAGGTTTCGCTACTAACAAAGCTTCCAGGTGACTTTGGGAGAATCACCACCTCAGTGTAGTCTGTCATTCTGCGCTATTCTAAGAACAGAATTGGTAGTGATGGAGCACAACCATGCATGTTGTCTTTTGAGAAAATTTGGAATATAAATTACTCTAACCTATCAATCTGATTATGTGTTTTCAGATGGCTTTCCCTGCTTTTTATCCATTCAGTGCTTTCTCCCCACTTAGTTAGGGTTTCTCAGATACTCAGAACAATTTATTGTTCAGTTGTCCATGCTGAATAGCCAAATACTGAAAACAGTCAACCATATTCACTTCCATTAAATTCAGCATCATATATGAGTTTAATGGTTCTAAGCAGGTTCTCTGTAGTTTCATTCAATTCAATATATCTGAAATTGCATCACTTATCTATCCTTTCAGCTTCACGTGCATTCATTAAATATCTACACAGCTGATTTGACAAGGAACATTAGATTCATTTATTTTACTGAAACACTACAAAGCCTGCTTCAACAGGTGACAACATCAAGCAATACTGGCTATCTCAAAAAAACTAGGCAGAACCAGACCTGCTCAGTACTTGAATGGGAAACTACCAGGTTCTAAGCTAGATTGGGAAATAAATTAATGGTAAATCACTACCACACTGTCAAGAAAATTACATGGATGGACCATAGAGTCACCAGGTGTTGAGCTCAAATTTACCTTATTACAAACTTGTTCATGTGCATTTCCTCTTGCTTCAATTTCTTCCCCAAGTGGCAAAAAGTAAGTTATCCTTTAAAACTAAGTTATCTTACCAACATTTATGAAGAATAGTTAAAAGTCTTATTAACTGAAGTCACTGGACGTTTTAACAACTGCTTGCAAAATCATCAAACGTTGTACTTTGTTAAACTCTACGCTATAGCTATAATCTGAATGTTTAATCTTCAGAGTTTGTTCTGCAAGTCAACTGAAACATAGTAACCCAATTTTTCCTGTGCTTCTGAATATCAACACTTTAACTTTAGTCCTTAAACTGCTTAGGAACCATTCTGCAAGACTGAACAGTTGTACAATTTCAGCAGTTTCTACAGTATGCTAACATCATAGTTTCAAAAAGCCTATAAACTAATGAGCAGGAAACCAGGTCCTGATTTTTAACATATGCCAATTCTGATGGGATTTCAAGGAATGAAGAGTATGAGTATGAAGGTTAAATGAAAAAGATACTGTCTCATATTGCTTCAAGACCATGTGAATATCCCTGCTTAGAACAGAGAATGGACTCATATCACATTATCATAGCTTCCCAGATCGGAAATGCCTTTTCTTCTTTAGCCAAAATCCATTAGTTAAACTTCAGTCCAACCTTCTATTTAGCAATTTTGCCATGGAAAGTTCCAAAGTATTTAATCTACGCTCAAAGATTCCAAAGCTTCCTATTATCACAATCATTTTTTCACTGAAACAAGGAGACATTCTAGAAACAAACCAGTCATAATTAAAGGTCTAAGCAGACTAGCTCTTTCAACTAATAGAATAGCAAGATGTAACGAACTTCACATTTTATTCATCTCTGCATCTTTCCTTTCATGATTTTCGTGCTTGCTTAGCTTTTTACTGCACTAAGAGATAGTTCTCCTTCAAGCAAGAGGAATCCCACAAACTGTAACTAAAGGAATTCATGCTTCACTTTCATATGCATCACAAATGCACATCCTAAATGCTTTTCTTCGTGCAACCATTCTGTTGTATATTACTGCTTCTTGCCATTCTGTAGTTTCTGTTAATGTCAATAAGAACAATTTGTCATACATTGACATCTACTGTCACATATTAAGTAAAACGCATTATTTCTTGACATGTATTTAGAGGCTTGCAAGTAGCATATCTTCTTGCAGATACAAGTAATCTGACTAAAAACAAGATGTAGAAATACGGTAGTAGCTTTCTGTAGCGTAATATTACAGTAAGAACCTACAGGCATTTACAAATCAAGTCTATCTCAATTAGCAGCAGTTAGATTTCTCTGCAAGTCAGTGCTCTTTGCTCTGTCATTTGTGTTCTTGTGGACTAAAATCTTCAGTCCAATTCTATTTAACTTCGGCTTTAAAATAGGATAGTAAATTAGTAATCCATGTTTTCTCATTCTAATGCAGTGAAAATACTTACCTACCTACTTCTTCTGTTACTTAAAACTATGTTTCTTGGTTGAACAGTGATTTTGTGCTTGCATAATATTGCATATCTTTGCAGAATTATCTATAAATACACTTCTTTGCTATCAAGTGATAACTTTATAGCTATATAGTTTATTGGAGCACATGTTCTTCCCCTCAGTTCTTCAGAGTTTGCATCAGATTTGTTTCTCAATTCCATATTCTGTTTGACTATTGCATCGTATTTTTTTAAATCGGTTTTTTTCCATTCCTTGAGCCAAAAACACCTAAAGGTCCAAAGATTCCTCAATGTCCAATGATTCCTGGGCTGGAGGGCAACTTCAGCCAAGCGGAATATGTCAGAGATTCCGAGGAAGGTTTGCGTTTCATTCTTTTCCTCATTGCCTGCAATGATGATTCGCTTCTACCGAGTGAATTCCTTACTTCCTTTTTTCTGGATTAGTAGTAGCTACTGCCAAGGTCCAAGGCAGCAGAAAAGAAATCTCTTAATGCTACATGGAAACCCACAGCCTTCTTCCCTTCCTACTCACGAGTTAGTATGCAGATAGTCGAACGTGAGCTGGGCGCGCTGCAGGCTGCTGTAGTTGGCGAAGGCCATGTTTGCGATGAGCCCCCCTCCCACCAAGACCCTTCCTCTGCGAAAAATGGGAGCGCGCTTCCCCTCCCGCTTCTTCTCTCCTCTCAGAAGCTGCCTCTGCCCATCCCAAGGCTTGCCCCTTCCGGACCGCAGCAATCTTCCCCGCGCATCGGTTCTCGTTCTCCCCCTCCCCGGCCGTTATCTCCGCAGAGTAGCCAAGGCAGCGCGGCCCTTCCCTGTCCAACCCGCCCCCCGCCTCAATTCTTCCACCGCCGATGGTCCAGTCGGCTTTTTCTCTCCTTCTCACGCTGAG